GTTTGAGAAGTTGGTGTTTGACCGTTATTTCCAGAAGCCTATCCACCGGTTTTCTGCAGATGGACAAAGGTTTATCTCCATTGATATGGCATCCTGATTTTGGAGGGAGGGTAAGAGATGTGATCCGCAGAGAAGATTTTTATTGGTGACCAATTAACATGTACTAAATGATTCAGGGTGTTCTATTTCAAGGCCACAACTATGAGAGTGAGCAAAAGCAAAGTACGTTGTCATAAGATATTTGCTTGAAGCCCCAAATCACTTCACCATCTCGAAGCTTTCTAGTAATAATGAATAAATGAGAAAACAACTAAGTTGTAACATTTAGCTAGTTAAATCATCCAGTGTTTTAAATAATCCTTGTTTAGATCATGAACGTTTGCCCATTTCATCTTCTGTTTCAAACTACTGAAGACCTAAACCCTAATTATTGTTCTCCTAGAAACATGTTTTAGACGATTGAATCAGACTTTGTGAGTGCATGATTAATCTACACTTGCGCCAGTTGAAAAAAATAAACAAAAAATAAGAACAATATGGATGAATATACGGAGCATTATAAACATCACATATCAGAGAGAATGCTACGCAAATTCAGTAAAAAATAACTCTTAAAGAAATAAACAAAACGTGTACATTCAGTCAAAAACTCTTATGTATGAAATCAAATGACAATGTTACCACTCCATGACAGAAAATGCATGCAAAAGCTCAGCAATGTCATAGTCACGACTCACAATGTAACTGAAAGCCGACTAACAATCTAACATAAACCCTAATGATATTCAAAAAGATGAAAAGGAACGAGTTATAAGAAAGGACACAAGGACAGGCTCACAAGAAAATGATACCAATTAATAAAGAAGATAGTTTAGGATGATTATGCAATGAAGCCTAAGATTATACTTTATGTAGTGAACAAGAACCAACCTAGAACTGATCAAGAAACAAGCAAAACCCAAACAGATCAATCAAAGCTCCAGAAACCAATACCATAGAACATCAAATGAAACCTCAAGTTCTCAAATTAAACCACAAAATATCCTTAAACAAAGATAACAAAACGTAACAACAAGATAGTCTTTTTTCCCCTCAGTTTTCAGGAATCTCAATCTCACCCTCCTGAATCTCCCCCTGGAGATCCTTAGGATCCTTCCCATCAACAGTACACCCAACAGACACACACGTCCCCAAAATCTCCCTCACAGTCCCACTCAACTCCTTCGCAATCGACCTCGGCCTCATGATCCTCGCGATCTCAATCACATCGTCAAACGATATGTTCCCATTGTGCTTAATGTTCTTCACCTTCTTCCTATCCCTCTCCGGCTCCTTCAACGCCTTGATGACCAGCGCCGCCGCGGACGGAACCACCGTGACTTTCGCCTGACGATTCTGGACGGTGAGCTTGACGGTGACGCGGAGGCCTTTCCACTCCTTGGCGGTTTCCTTCGCGATGTCTTCTCCGATCTTCTTGGGGGCGAGACCGAGGGGACCGATTTTGGGAGCGAGGGAACTCGCGGCTCCGACTTCTCCTCCGGTTACGCGGACGTAGACGTCGACGATCTGGCTTGGGTCCAACTTCGGCGGCATGGTTGTTGAGTTTTGGGTTTCGTTGTTGTTTGTTGTTGAGAGTGGGAGGCGCAAGTGGAAAAACGGGATTTTTAGGGTTTTATGAAGATGGTGAGGTTTGAAACCTAATGGGCTTTATATTAGCGGGCTGATGTAAATTTACTGGTTTACTTCTAGTGGTGGCACGGCCCAACTCGAATATGTATGGGGGGTCTTAACTCAAGCACTTGAGCAGAAAGGTTAAAGACGAGGGGCATTGCACAAGAGCACAAAGCAGAGAGATTAGAGTAAGTCATTCATTACTTTGAATCTTAGTCTTTTAGCTATGAGTCTGAAACTGCTTGTGTGAGATTAGTTTAGTTAGATGTTGTATAGACAACAAATACTGATTCAATAGTTTTTTAAGATCTTAACAATATGTTTCCTTACTTAAGTAAGACATATATATATATATATATAGCAAAAAGAGATAATATAAACTGTCAAACAATCTTTTAAAGTAATAATTTTTTTAAATGCAAAATTTTATGACTAAAATCTTATACCATTTTATAGTATAATACATTTAAAACATTATGTTGGCAATGTGGAGAGATATTAAGTAGTATATATACGATTGTTTTGAAGAATAGATAAGCTCAGAAGAAACCCATCAACAGGCTTAGGTATTCCAATAGGGCATCAAAATGAGTCAAAATATCAAAATATGAGAAAAATTTCTTTCTAATAGTATATCACTTTGAGAGAAAAATGAGAATGTGAATGTGAATAGTATCCCCTATATATTAAAAGAAAAATATTACAATATTCTAACTATGATACGTGTTATCACTAGAATGCTTCTCAAAATTTCTAGAGAAAAATGTTGGTTCATATAACATATAATTTATATTTGATTAAATAACTATAAACTATTATTAATGTTATTCATTATTTCTTTAAAGAAAAACTACGAAATTACCTAATATGATATATATATATATATATAGACAATTAATGATTTGAATAATATTTTGATAAAAATTTATGTATGCTCTATTCTTTTTTGTTAAATTTTAATTATAAAAAATAAATTAAACAAACACATTAACTATATAATACAACAAATTAGCTTTTTTACATATATGTTATATTTTGATTTTTTTTAAATGACTGTAAATTAATAAAACCTTTAGAATTCAGCATAGAGTTTTTGTGATTAATACTTTTTTATAATAAGATACAAACAATTATACTATCAGTGAGTAGGAAGTATCATGTTCTTACTGAAGAAGGGAGACATGGTTAATAACCAATTCTGTTCTTTTTTCCTGCATGTCACTGGCTCTCGCCCTATGTTATGATGCCTACTGGTCGGGTTTTTTTCTTTTTTTGTTTCTATGTCTTTAAGTTTATTTTTTTCCCATGCTCTACTTTGGTTTCGGTGTGAAGTGGCTTAGGCAACTCACCATTTGAATAAGAGGAATATTTCAGTGTTAAAAAAAAGAGATGACCTCAGAAGGAACTCATCAACAGGCTTAGGGTATTCCAATGAGAGAAATTTCTTTCTAATAGTATATCACTATGAGAGAAAAAAAAAAGAGAATGTGAATAGTATCCCTTATATATTAAAAAAGAAACATTACGATATTCTATACGTGTCATCACAAGAGAAAAATGTTGTTCCATATAAACATATAATATACTTTTTATTAAATAACTATAAGCTATTATCAATGTTCTTTATTTTTTTCTTAAATAAAAACTACAGAATTAATTAATATGGTTTATATATATGTATATGACAATTATTGATTTGACTATGAAATATTTGATAAAAAATTATGTACGCTCGCTCTATCTTTTTGTTAATTTATATTATAAAAATAAATTAAACAATCACGGTAACTATATAATACAACAAATTAGATTTTTTTGGTATGTATTATATTTTGAATTTTTAAAAATGACTATAAATTAATAAACCTTTTAAATTCAATATAGAGTTTTTGTGATTAATAATTATTTTTCTAACAAGATACAAACGATTATACAATCAATGAGTAGGAAGTATCATTTAATAGATATTCATAATATATATATATATATATGTGTATATATATAAATTTCTAATGATGTTTAAATTAACTTATATATCATCAAAAAATACATATGAAGTTTTTAATTTCAAAATTGCATTGAACAAGCATTGAAAACTTAATATTTAGTTTTAAACTTTGAATTGATTTTTTTAATTGATTATAAATTAGGATAAATATTAAACGTCTCATACTAAAGTTTATGTTATCAATTGTTTAAAAACAAATTGTTATCAATGCTTTAAATTTTTTTGTTATAAAATATACAAATGATCATAAAATAATATAAGTATGAAGTTTCATTTAATAGATATACAAAAATATATATATATATATATATATATATATATATATATATCTATGTTAATATCATTTATTTTATAGAATTACTTATATTAGGCGACTGTAAATAAACAACTGTGATTTTTTTATTTATGTGAGCAAGCTAATTTAATTATGTACATAATATTTACTAATTTTTAATTATTCAATAAATATATATATATATTATAATATGTAAAAGAACACAATATAATAATAATACATAAAATAATTTGTATATACAGCTTCCATCCCGTGCAAGGCGTGGTCTTAACTCTTAACCTAGTTACATCATATTTGAGTGAACATTATTTACAAATTCATTTTGATGTTGAATTTTTTTTATTTGCATAATAGTCTCTAAATTTTTGAAAAAAACAATTATGCATAAACTAAATATTTACATAAAATATTACTTTTAAAAAATTTATTAAAAATTTTATGTAACATATGTATACTGATTAAGATTTTTATAACTTATAATTTATTTATAATATATTTAATAAATAATAAATAGTAATATCAAAATTACAAAACTGATACAAAATTAAAACATATTTTCGTAAAAAAAAAAAAAGACACATATTAACCTTACACAATATAAAACCTGTTTTGATTGATTATATGTGGGAAAATATAGTAATTGTCTTGTTTAAATAATCTTATATTGTATTGTATGTGATTATATTAATTTATTAATAACAATAAACAATGTGTAATTTTGATAAAATGTTTTATTTGCGATAAATAAAAACTTAAAAATTGAATGTACTAATCATTTAAAATTAAAATGAAGACGATCATTGGAGAAAATTACTAATTCATGATGAAGGAAACTACCGGAAAGGTCTTAGGAGGCTTCCGAAGCCGGAGAAACGTCACTTTTAGCACTGCTGCTTCACTGCGGCGTACATAATAAGAATTACGCCATCTTTTTAAGGGGTTTATAGATGGGTTATTAGTTTCGGTTAAGATAATTTTTTTAGATTTTAACTAAGAAAAACTAAGAACTGACTCTTAAATAAGAAATATAAGAATATCATTATCCTAACAACCCATAATGGGTTGCTTAAATTTTTTTTTTGTCTGAAAAAAAATTAAAAAGTATACTAATTGCTGACCGCCACGTGTTGGTAGGATCTGTGAACAGTACATTCAACAAAGAAATCTCGGTGCCTAAACTGGCTCCGGAAGAGACGAAGCTTGTGTTTTCTGTGGGCCATGGTGGCTTATTTATCCCACAAACCACCGGGATAAAGATACTTTAAGAGTCAATTCTTAGTCAAAAAGTAAAAAATAAAAGAAAAAAACGAAAAAAATGTCAAATTATGAGTTAAAAACCTCACCCTGAAAGCCTCTAGTAAACATATCCTAAGAGTATCTCCAAAAACCACTTTATAACTTCAAATATAAGGTTTGTGCACTCCAAAAACAACCTTAAAACTTTAAATTTTAAGGTTTTGTACAGTGAAACCTCAAATATAAGGTTTCACTGTACAAAACCTTATATTTAAGGTTCCTTACTTTTCTATTCTTTTACTTGTGTAACTTTCAAATTCAGTTAATAACTTTCTTATTTAATCATTTTACTCTTTTTTAATAATACCTTTTTAATAAACTACAATAAATATTATATAAAGATAATATTACAGCAAGCAAAATATAAGAAATTGAAAATACAAACACAGAGTAATGAACATATAAATATTACACAATTTAAAAATATTACATATATAAACATTACAACAATATTAATATTTAGGTAAATTCGATCCTCGTTCTCCAGTACCACCAAAATATTTTCCATAATATTCTGGTACAACTGAAGGTTGTTGTTGTTGTTGTTGTTGAGCTTTTTTCTTGATGATTCTTTTTTGTTCAAATCGAATAAACTCAAGAGTAGCAGAATCAACAATAGAGTTTAAAATTGTTAGCAAAATTTTATTTTCTTCACGCATTTCTCTAAGTGTTAATTTTTTCCTTGGTTTTACAAACATAAACTTCAAATAAAAGATCAGCACCAATGGTATAAGTTGAAATGACAATAAACGAGAATGTTCGTTTTCAAAACTTTTTACCTTGTAATCTTCAAAAAAGATAAAGATGCTCATTTTATCAATTCGAAATGCCTTAATTGATCATATATAGAATCAATATGGAGCTAATCATAATGAATATTATGTAATTTATTTAAATTTCATGATTTACTTTGTATGTTTTTATTTATATGTAAGGTTTTACTATAATATAATATAATCTTCATTAATTTTGTTTTAGAATAGTTTTATTGGATATTTATAGTTATTGTAAAATATTTATGCTATTAGTTAATTTTTATTAAGTATAAGGTTTTTTTGGAGAGGAACACTCAAAAACCTTATTTTAAAGTTTTGTTTAAATCTTAAAATAAGAGCATCTGCAACAGCCTTTTATTCCCTCATTTTTAAGTGTTTTGCACTCCAACAAACTTTTATCCCCTCAAATTTTAAGCAGGCAAACAGTACATCCTCAAATTTGAAGGTGCACTGTTCACCCCATTAATACAATATTCACTTTTCATTATAGTTCTTCTATTTATATATGTTTAAGAGTTGTGTACTTATTATTTTTCACGTTGCATTTTAATAATATAATTATGGTCTTATAAAATAAATTTTAAATAATAAGAA